TTTTCTTTTTTTATTTTTTTTTTTTTTATAATAATGCAACAGTCAGTATTCATCTTCATAATTTTTTTATTTCAATTTTATTCTTTATTTTAATTAAAGTTTCTTCTGAAAATTGTAAATTTTTTGGTTTGAAAAAACAAGTCGATGGTGCATGTGCAATTTTTTTTTTTTTGAATGGGACAAAATATTTTTTAAGCATTTATGTTTACTGGAATCTTAATTGCTCTACTACTGTTTTAATAATTCATTTATTAAGGGGTTAAAGATCAACGAACAGACCAAAACACTTCAGTCTAAAACGTTTATGTTGGTATCAAGAAAAAAAAATCAGAACAGGTTTGCAACACCTACATGTAGTAAGTGGTATTATAAAGCCATGGATCCTAAAAAAAATTATTCAAGTGGACATTCACAGAAAATTTGAATTAATTTTTTTCTGAAGTTCAACACTAGTGAGTGTGCGGTAAGCTTCACAGTTATCTAACCTGGTAAAATTAAAGGAAATCATTAACTAATAATCATACAGACATAAAATAAAAATTTATTGACATAAAATTATAAAAATAACAGAAGGGAACGGATTAATATTGATTTTACAAAACTCAATAGCAATTTGGTTTAATTTTGAAAAACTAACATTTTATCACACATATTTTAATAGAATATTTTCTAGGACCATCGATTTATAAAGCATTAATATAAGAGATTTAATTTCTAATATAAAAATAATAACAGTTGCTTTTCTATATTATTTTTTTTTTGTGTATGAAATTTAATAAAGAAAATAACAGATTTAGAATTTTTATATTTTTTGCAATTTTTTTCTTATTGTTAACGTTTTAGAATTTCGTGATTCAAAAGTAAATTATATAATTTTTATTGGATACACAGATGTGCATATGTACGTATAATTTTGTAACCAATAATTGAACAAAAAAAAAAATCTTCATTGCAATGTAAACAGGTGATTATGAATTTTAATAGCAATTTTAAAAATTTTTCTATATATTTATTTTATACATACTTATTATACTTTTTGTATTTTAGTTTTTGAAAATTGGTTAAACACTCTATTTAATAAACATGCATTTGTATATTAGCCTATATCATATGTAATTGGGATTGTTGAACAGCTATTAAAGGTAAAGAAAGAATTTAAAAAATGAGACTATTAAAAGGTTAAAAGTTAGTAAGTTTTAAATGTTATGAGAATTTTTAGTTTATAATATTCAATACAAAGTTACATGAATATGTAGAGCAAAAAAAAAAAGAAAAGCAAATTATATATTTGCTAATATCTACTTTGATGGGTCATTGATGAGCACTTTTAAAGTATTATAAGATTGAATGTTTTCGTTATTTCCGTTATATAAGAATGCGTGCACAAAAAAAAATATTTTTTTTACAAAAATTTTAAGAAACCTTTGAAATAAATCTTATGCTAATTTTTAAATCATTATCTTTAATAATATACAGTAGATATTTAAAAACTTTTAAACGATACTAAGTAAAATACATATACGTATATCAGGCTACACCATCCAATATAGTTCATACATTGTTTCACTTGTACCATTTGTGGAATAAAGTGTGATAACTTACGTTATAAAGTACATAATAATTTGTTATATGTTTTGATTCAATTTTATGTATTTTCCAAATATAATTGCATAAATATTGGCGAAATAGAAAATAATTTGAGTTATTAGCGACATCTTCGTTTTGGTAGATGAAAGTGTGAAATTATGTATTAATTTGATGATTAAATAAGAAATCTAATCTTGTAATATCGATGTATGGTTTAGGTATTGGCGCATCTGCATGGAAATATAAAGTTAAGAAAAATATTTAAGAATAAAATGTAAAACACCAAATAAAATTATTGATAAGAAGTACATTGCCATGACATCCTGTAACTAAACTCATTAGCTGCTTTAATTTTTATATTTCTCCAAAAATTTAATTAAAAACAAAAAAAAATAAAAAATAAAAAATAAATACACCATTTGATCAATTTCAATTATAATCGATTTCGTTTAATAGACATTTTAATTAAAGATTATATAATTATTAATTGATAATAATTATATATTATATATGTTTTTGTATATATATTATATATATATACATATATATGCATGTATCAAGGTTTTTTTTTAACAAATACAATATGTTTTCATTTTTTGTTTTGTTTTTTGTTTTTATTTTCATTTAGCGAAAATCCTAAATTAAAATATATCTTCTATGTAAAGTATTTATATAATATATTTTATATATTACGAAGACATTATATTATACTTGTACATAATATGTGTATATTTATATTGCGATTATTTTTGTATAATTTTTGTATATTTAAAATTTTCCTATTAAATTGTTCATGTGAATATTTATTTAATTCATTTTCTATATAATATATGAATGTAGATAATTTTTGTAATTTATAATGAAATTTTTTTTTTCATATATTATAAGTAAATATTATGGTATGTCTGAAAAACAGTAATATATATTAGAGACTTTTCATGAATTGTAAATTATTATATTTATTGTAAATTGTTTTGATACATAAGTTTTTTATCATAAATAAATTGACTTTCGTAATATTTTTTTTTGATATTTTTGAAGTTAAGTAGCTTTATTAATATATTGCAATATGTATATATTTATAAAATGTACAATTATGTATTTTTAAATACAAACATAATGCAATTGTTTAGTATGTATGTTATAATATGTTATATACTTTGAGAAATTTTTTTTTTTATTTTATAATAAATCTTTTATTTTCATATAATGTCAATTGTAATATATTATTTTAAATACATAAAATTTATACACTGTTTATATAGTATGCAAACGACTATGACTTTCATATGTAAAAATTTACATACACATCATAAGTATTGTATTCATACTATGTTCATAAATATTTTAAACATATAAATATCTATATATATATATATATAAATATACATATATTATATATTTAATTTTTGGAAACTCCTAAAAATTTTAATTAAAATGCGTCTTAAATGTATAATGTTTCAATATTATATATCTTATACGACAATATTATAATTAGTAACGAATTATTTGATACATAATACTTTTGTATTATAATAATGATAATTTACATTTCTGTTTGAAATTGTTTTCCAAAAAAAAAAAAAATTAACAAATAAATATTGCATTCTGTTTTATCGCACTTTTCGCAATATAACTATATACTTATATTTGTTCGTCATATATATGTACATTAATATAGTATATAATATACAATAATTTAATTATATATTTAGGAAATTGTTGGAATACAATTATAACAATTTTTTTTTTTTCAAACTGAAATATAATGAGATTAATTTACTTTACTTTGCAAAATCATTTTTCTAAATTACAAAATTTTGTAAAACTTTTTTATTGACTTTAACAAGTGAAGTAAATTCATTTTTTTATTTAATTTTTTGTTTTTAGTTTTTTTTTTTTTTTTAAACTTTTTTAACATATATTATTATATCACATTTGTTAGAAAAACAAAACTGAAAACAAAAGACATAAAAAATAAATCTACCCAAATTAAAATTCCTTCAATATAATTAATAATAATTAAAATTATTTAAAATTGTTTATTTAAAAAACAAACTCTAGTTTGCAAAACTTAACTTGTATAATGGACAAATAAAAATTCTTGTTTTTACACTTCTTGTTTAAATAATAAATAAAATCAAAGTTCATATTATTAGAATATAATCTTAAAAACGTTCTTAAAACAATATTATATCATTATAAATAAAATTGATATCATGAATAAAACACTCGATCTCTTTTTTTTTTTTACGCAATTATCACAAACATAAAAAAGAAAAGTTTAACAACTTTTTTCATATTATCAACACATTTTAAGTACATATATTTTGAAATTAAAAATATCATTTAATTAATATATTTTTTCATACATTTACCTTACATAATTCAAGCACAAAACTAACAAAATATTATCTAACAATTAAATCTTTATAAAAGAAAATTAATTTTACTTGAAAAGCTAAGAAACTGTTATCATGACCAGGATAAAATGAATTTGTAGATTAAATTATAGTTTTTAGAAAACAAAATACAAACTTGATATGATCAAAGAAAGAAAAGGTTGATAACGATGTTCAATAAAATAGCTACATAGTTTGTTTCATTGAAAATTCATTTAGTAAAATATATAGAAATTAAGTTTTGTTAATTCTTTTAACTGTATTACTAGAAGACCCTTTTTTTTGGAATATTTCTAGTTTGGAATGTTCCATTAAAGTTTAAATGAAACGAAGTTTCAAAAACTTCAGGTAACAAACAAATAGGTAGAGCAATATTTTTCTCTAATAAAAATTTTATATGATAAATGCAATTTTTTTATTTATTGCATAAAACGAAAAATATAATAAAAATCAATCAAATGATTGGATTCAAGAAAAAAAAATTTAATTTTTAATTTTAATTTTAAGTTGTTAACAGTATAAAAGAAAACGAATTGTAAAGTGAGGCAAAATCTCTATTAACAAAAATTATTAAAATATTTTATATAGAAGAAATATTTAAACTGTTAAATACTAGAAATAAGAATTTAAGTAACAAAACTATATTTTTTACTATATTATTTAACATATTATATTTGAAAATTCTTTAGAATATCAGAAAATTATACATATTTTAAGATAAATTTTATAAATTTGGTCAATTACTTGTTTCTTTTAACATTACTTTCAAAATTGAATATTTAACAATTGACCATTTAACAAAATATTTAAATAAAGAAATTTTTGAAAAATATATTTTAAAAATAATAAAACAGGTATTTATATAATCATTAATAAATGTAATAAATTTTGTTTCTTTGTTATGTGCTTTACTTTAATTAGATATGATTTTGCTATATCGTTTATACTTATTCTTCATATAAATATATTTTAATTAACAGAATTAAATTTCATACATTTTTTATACATTTTATTTTTTTTTTCTTTTAAAATTTAATTATTTAATATTTGTTTTTCTTTTTTTTATATTTCTAGTATTTTTGAAATAACTTTACATTTTATATGATTTTTTGTTTTAGTTATAATTATACGCCGTTGATGCACCACAACTCATATTTCACGATAATTTATTATATTTTACTTTTGGTTCATGAATAGATTAAAATATTGCTTTAAATCACATTTATGAATAATAATAAACTATGAAGTTATTATGAGCTGTAGTGTGTCTAGAGCATAATATTAAAGATCCTCTTTTTTTTCTTCATTAATTATATTTTATTTTCGTAATACAACTTTTTATTTTAATTATTCTAAAAATTTAAAAACAAATTAAGTTTTTGCAAATCTTTTTTGTGTATTTTTTTTTTTGTTTTTCGTTTCCTTTAATAAATTTTATATCATTATAAACATATACATAATAAAACTTTAATAGTTTTTTAGGAATAATATAATATTATTATAAATATGAAAGTGGAGGAAAAAATATTAGGGAAAACTTTTTATTTTATCTTTTGTTTTATATATATGTATATATTTATGTTTTTGTTTTCTATTAATAACCAAACAAATTTAAATATTTTGTTTTTGTTATTTTGCCTGAATATTTAAGTTTAATCTTCCTTAGATAAACTACCAACATCATTGAGAAATATTTCTGGTGTCAAAATATGAGAAGAACCTACTATAACTTCCCAATTTTTAACTGCATTTGTAACTTCATAGGCACATCGCATTTCGGACATGCTAACACCACCAACAACAAATACAATTAGCCTTGGAACATTTTTTACGGCTGTTTGTGTTTTATCCTTATGCCAGTGTCCATATCGTGCACTAAAATTTTTCAACGTTATATTAAAAAAAAAATATTTTTTTATATTTTTTTAAGTTTTAAATAACCTGGTAGGTGCAGCATGATAAGTAGGATTTTGATTACGGCCTGCTAAAAACTGGAAATGTCGACTATCCAATTTGTCTTCAATACAATCTTCCATAACATCTTTAATTACTGGTGTCCAACGTGACATCTGGTAAGTATGTTCAGTGATTCTTTCCTTTCTTGGTACTGAATATGGTTTTTTACGATTACCCTAAAAATTTTAAAATTTAAATATTAAGTATAATTTTATAAATTAAAGAATCTAAATTACATCTGAAATGACATTGACACCCAAATAATTCAAATTTCTAATCATATCTTGATCTTTTGGACTGAGTTGAGCATGTGTAAATAATTTTGTAAGATTTTCCTCTGATATACCATTTTTAATCATAACGTACAATGCAATAATACGAACTTTATCATAATTAGAAACATTCTAAAATTAAAATAAACCATTATTTATGTAACTTGCTATTTGAAAACAAAAATTTAATATATTCATCTATGATTTTGTTTTTATTACTTACCGCATCCAATAAAATTGGGACGATATTACGCATATGATCTTTAATTTTCTCTCCTTCAGCATCTGTACCCATTGCAAGGTCTTGTTCAACACGGCATAGTTTGTCAACGTAGTTCTATATTATATTGCATGCATATAATTATGCAAAAATAAAAAATTTTAAATTAAACTCAATTTAAAAATTGATATTTTATATCACAAAACATTTAATATAACGCGTGTGTGCTGTACTTTAAAATAAAATTTTAAATAGTGCATAAAAAGTTTATCAATACTCTTTGGAAAAAGAAGTGAATAGAATAAATTTTAACATTTTATTATAATATTATATCTGATAAGCTATAAATATTGAGCAATAAAAAAAGAAACTAGATATAAGATTGAATCTTATTGTTTTTACAAAATTAAATATTAAAAGATGATAATTTGCAATTAAGAGGCTTGGTGTTAGTTTTTTTTTAATTTAATAAAAACCATTTTCTTTATCAAACCTGATACGATTTCATGCAATCTTCTGCCAAATGTAAATGAGTAGAATATTTTGATAATTCTTTCTGATATTGTGGCATTTTTTTAATCATTTGTGAAAGATCTCTCATTGATGCTTTGTCAGCTAAAACAGAAAAAAAAAATAGAAATAGAAACTTTAATTCCTTTATGAAAAAAAAAAAATTTAATACTTTTTTAAATGAACTATGTATTGTCAATATAATGTATGTATGTGTATATTTTAATTAATTGCTTACTTGTTGACATTCTTTTTGAATCAGTGAATTTTTTTAAATTTTGTGTAACCTGAGTTGAAACAACAGCGATATGTTGATGACGTAATTCAACCCATAATTCATCATTTTCATCTAATAAAACTTCTTTATCCGGTTGATTAGGCCCTGGACAAAACTTATATACATCATTAACAATTGGTAATAAATCATAGGCCATTGCCTGTAATGTTAGCTCATGTAATAATGGTGATACACAATCAAAACCACGATCTAATATTAATAATTGAGATCGTGCTTTTTCGGGACCTTCACCCATTGTTGGTTCATCAGCTTTATAGGCATCCAATTTTTGTTGAATTGAAGCAGCTAAATCAACATTTCTATCCCAATCAGAACGATAACGTACTGATGGATATTCACCTAAAGTTGCACATAATGTTGCAACTTGTTCTGCAATACGTTCAATATGTTTAGCCCGAACTGAAGCAAATGCTGGTGAATATAGGCATTGAAATGTATCCGGGGAATCAAGAGAAAATACCTATACATTGTCATTTGTCAATTTGTCATTATGAGAAATATGTAATTGTTTATTGTAGTTATTATGAGGGACAAATTAAAGAGAAATAATTTAAAAAAAAAAATTAATTTTTATATATGTTTATATTTTTTTTTTTCAAAATTAAATTTTGGATTTAAAGAATTACAATTTTTTTTATTAATTTGTTACTATTGTCTTTTGTTTTGTTGCTTTGTAAACATTTATTACATTAACATTATTCAAACGTGAAACACAAACAAACAATTTACCAAGTTAATGATTTATTTTATATTTTTTTTTGGAAATGTTAAACATTTAAGAAAACATTCATAGATCTTGTTAGGATTTTTAATGTCAAATACAAACATTGATATTAGTATATATATATACATTAAACACATTTTTACAAATATTCAGTTCATAAAATTGTAACTCTGGTTAATACTATAGAAATAGAAGTAATAAAATGTTACAAACATCCAATATAAGAAGATAAGAAAAAGATAGATTCTTATGAGCATTAAGATTTTAGTCTTATAGAATTTCCCTGATATATAGGTAATACAGAAAGATACAGAAAGGATGTATTAACAGAAACAGTTATATTAAAGATGTATATTAGTCAATTAGTTTGTTAAACAATGAAAATCGCAAAGAAACTGAAATTCGAATTTTAATCGCCATTTTAAATACAAAATGCACGCACATTTATATTAAAAGCTAAAATATATGTTTAATAAAAAATAAAAGTTTTAAATTTTATCACTTATCGCCAAAAAAAAAAATTGTTTCATAATAAATGATTTTTAAAATTTCCTTTAAAATTTTATTTTTTATAGAACACCAGCGCTTTACATTTCAATTTTTAAGCACTTGTGGAGAAAAGTAAAGGAAAGCTGTTATACAAAAATGCAAGATACCTACCTACTCCACTTCAATTAATAAAATTACAAATTTATTTAAATTTTTCTTTCTCAATCTCATTTATGCGTTTTAAAAAATTTCATATCGTAAAAATTTTCTTTTATCGTAAAAAAATTACGATATAATTTTTTACGATATAATTATAATTTTTAATTTATAAAAAAACAAATGTTTCAGTTTTATTAATTGAAGATTTTTTAATTTAATTTAATTTAATTTGAAATATATTCTTTAATTGATTTGAAAAAATCTTTTATGAAATTAAAATATACTTGCAAAGTCAAATTGGAAAGATTGTCGAAGAAATAATTTAGAATTAATTGTTAGGAAATAAAACTATTTATGGTAAATTAAAATCAGAAATGTTAAAGTGCTTGAAAATTAATTATTTCTAATGTGTTTGTTTCAAAATTTTTGAATATTGTGATTTTTTAGTATTTGGGATACATTCAATTAAATTTTCTTTATATGTGCTTTAGTGAAAATTTTTACAAAATTTATTTTATTGTTATATACAATTTTTTTTTATTTTGTAGGAACGTGCTTTGCAATTTGTTATTATTGTTTTTAATTAAAAAAAAAATAATTGTGATCGAAGACATCATTTTATAAAACACTTAAAAGGAAAAAAAAATATGTATATATAAATTGCACACAACTAAAAAAAAAAAAAAAATAGAAATACATAGACGTTGTGACGGGATAGAAATTGAAGAAATAGCGAGAAATTATTTAATTTGAATTCCTGTATAAACTGATAACATTTTTATTTGTATCAAATTATGTTTTTAAGTGAAATGAAATTTATTTTTTTTTTGTTTTGCCATGATTTTCAATGAAGTGAAATTATTTTTTATATTTTTACGATATTATTTTGAAATATATATAAAAATAATATATACAAATCCTTCTGGATCAAAACTAAATATTTTCTGAAAAATATATAGATTTATATAAAAAAATTTATAAAGAAGAGAAAAAAAGGAAATTTTTTTCGAGCATATTCTCTATTACAATCTTTCATGTACACTTTAATAAAAAGATAAAAAATTTTCTGATTTTCTGAAATAGCAATTTTTTTTTTTATAAAATAGCTTTCTTAATACGAGCAAATAACAATTTTTTAAAAATTGAAAGCAATTTTTATAAAATTATCGAGAAAATGGGCAAAATATATGCTCGTATTTTATTACAGAAAATATTGAAAGATTATAATAAAGTTTATAGCAGCAATTAATTAGTATACTGAAAGAACAAACAAATTTTGTTTATTAAAAATTACATTTGAAAATTTTAAGAATAGATAAGTAATGTTCTGTTTTTTTTTGTTTGTTTTTTAATTAATTTAATCATTCAACTTTACTTAAATGTTTAAAATTTAATATTCACAGATTAAAAGAATAAAATCTTGAAAATATCCAATAATATAATTTTATAAAAAAAAATTAAATTAAATTAATTAATTATAGTACATAATAATTATCTTTAATATGATATTGTATTATACTGACTTCATTTCTACAATAATATGATTATTTTTAAATATACAGACCTATTATGTGCCATTTATATGTAATAGGCTATGAATAATTTATACATATTATGCTCCAATTGAACATGAAATAAACAATTTAAACTTTTTGAACATTACAAAAATGTTTTTTTCGGCTTTGTGCTATTAAAATAATTCTGAACTTTATTTACATATGTATATACAAATAACAATATTGTTAAATTTATTAATTTATTTAAAATTTATTTTTTGAAAATTAATAAAAAAAATTTTAAATTTTGATAGTAAAAAAATTGTAAAATTCAATGTAATAAGAAAATAAAATAATTTTATAGGAACAATTTTTATTCTAAATGTCCTAACATAATAATTTCATATACATACGTACATTTTAAAACACAATTTATTGCCAATTAAAACTACACTATTAATATTTTTCAACTTAAATTTAAACATGTGTATGTATGTATATAAATTTGCTATACAAAAATTTTAGAACATAATATTTTTATTTTGTATACTTAAAATTTAAGAAAATCAATCAATTTTTCAATCCAATGTAAGGAAATTTTCTTATATGAAAAAACAACAAAGCAACAAAAATGAGGTGTATGAAAAAATTTATTTTTAGAAAGTAAATGAACAAAACCCCTTTCTAATTGAACTAATTTACACCATTTGTTTTGGAAAGGGTTTTTTTTTTATTTGAATTGCAAATGACACTTTAGGAATTTTAAAAGAATTAGAAAATTTCCTGTTCTCGAAATGTATATTATTAGTACATAAAAGTTATGTGCATGTATTCAAAATATCAAGAAATTTTTCCAATTTTTACAAGGACATACTAGAAATATATTGAAATAGAAATTAAATTCAATGAAATATTTCATTTAAAATACGTATACATATATATATACATAATATATTTTAAATTCAGAAATGATATTACAATAAAAATATTAAAGGAATATCATATTAAAGATAAATTTATAAAATATTATGATTATGTATGGATATTGTATAAATATATCGGGAAATTCGGATATGATTTACTAATATAATTATCATAGAAAATTTTTTATATAATTTTATTATGTGACAATTTCAATTGCAGAAAATTTATACCTGCTATGTACTTTTATATGAAAATATTAAGTTTAACAAAATATATTTGTTATACATATTAATGAAATATAAATAAAGAAAAAAATATGTATCAAATATATATACATATATTAAAATAAACTATTTTTGACACTTAAATCTCCCATATTAGATTAAATAATTAAAATTACTTACAAATTAACAAGTAAAACACCCAATATATTTATATTATTCATACATTTAATATGAAAATTTTAATTTTTATTAGAATATCAAATTCTACATGCGAATACAAACATCATTAATAACAAAGTAACAACAATATAAATTCAAATATAATTCAAATGTAATTATGTAAAATGTTAAATTTTATAATCGAATCCATTTAATTGAATTTAATTATATAAATAAAAAAATAACTACGTAAAATTAATTTACGCTATAACATCACTTCAATTTAAGTGAATTCTATTTTTGACGTAATTATTCAGAATATTTGAAATTCAGCCACAAAAGATCAACTACTTATATACATTTCTTCTAAAACAAATTAAAATTTATCTAATTTATAACAATTAATTTATTAAAAAAAAAAAAAAATTAATGAATTTTAAATTATTCATTCTTTGTATGCAATTACTTATAAAAAAAAAATAGGCCGTGCAAATTATGATTAGAAATAAATAAATGAATAAATAAATAAATAAATAGAATATTATTTAAAGAAAAAAATCATGTTAGGAATTACTTAGTATATCAAGAGTTATTATTTGACTGTTGTGTAAATTTTTCCCTTAAAGCTTAAATGTAGACACTTTAAAAAACAATTTTATTTTGTTGTGTTTCTTTAAATTTTATTATAATTATGATTCATTATCAATTTCAATGGGTAATTTAATGTTAATATGTATGTATGTATTCCAATTTTTTTTATATATAATGTAATTTACATATGTAAAAAAAAATTTATTTGGATTTTTGATTTTTTGTATGTATGTATAATGTGTGAAATAGAATTAATAATATAAATGAAACCATGTTTAGTTGTTATTATAAATTATCACAAGACTTACTGTTACTCGATTAACAGTGAAAATATATTTATTCTTAATATATACATATACAAAAAATTTCAAATAAAGAAAAATTACTTTGAAATTTTCTAGATATACATTGATTTAATTTATATTTCTAAAAATATTAATATTATTTCAGATTTAATAATTTAAAAAATGGGAATAATTTTTGAAAAATCAAAAGTTGAACGAGCTTAAAATTAAATCTTAAATAATTAATTTTAAAACAATTTACTATTATAAAATTCCAATCAGAATATCCAGAAAAGATTTTGAAAGACCAAAATTTCCTGTAAAATTTACATAATAACAAACGAGTTTTCAAGAACCTCTAATGGTTTCAAAAATTTTTTTTTTTGAATTTATAAAGAAAGTTTACTATATTATGTAAGTACATACCATTGTATAGGATTATATAATTTTCTTATCAGTTATAAGTTATTTTTTAATGTTCGTTTAGAATTTCATTATAAACTTTTTGTACAAAACGAAATCTAATATAAGTACCTAAAGTTACAAAATCGAAATTGTTTCTGTTTGAAGGCACATTTATTGTGTAAAAATTATATGTTTTCTGTATATACCTGAAATTACTCTAGATATGTGGCCCACCTCCGCAACATCACAAAATTTTTATGTTATATATATGAATATTTTCAGTTATATGAAAAAATGAAAATAAATTTTAAATATGAGAAAATGTACGCAAATGTAACTTATTGAAATTCTTAAAAATTTTTATTTATATTTAAAAGTAACGATAATTAACACATAAAATTATAAAACGTAAACATTCAATAACATATCAATTCTACAACATTATATTAATATGGAATCAAATAACAATATAACACAAAATATAATGCTCATATAATTTTTTTAAATATAAATGAATTCAAGCTAAATAAAATTATTTTCCTTTATTCTTTGTATTTTAATTATGTAAGTGTCTACAAAAGCTTTTATTCACAAAAACATGCAAATTCAATAGAAAAGTGTATATTATACGAGTAGTTTATTGGGATACAATGAAAATAAATGTATTCTTTTTCTTGAAATTCTTGGACGCATCAGACCAAAGGATGCATCTTAAAGAATATGGATAATTGTATTTATTGTAAAAAGTATTTTTATTTAACATTAAAAATTTCAAATTTTATATAGAGTAACTAAACAATTTAATTTTCCTTAGTACGCTAAACTTTCAAATTCTGCGCTTGTAGGAAAATTGTGTACAATCGATATTATTGTGTAACATTTATAATTTACAAATTCATTGTATCTCAAATTTTTCTATACATTTTAATATATACTTTTTTTTTTCTCTTTCATGCATATTATTTTGTGAATTAATTAAAATACTCAAACGTACTAAGTAAAAACTTAACATTTTGACGTAAAGTATTTTATAGAGTCAGTGTAAACGTTTGTTTACTTTTTGATATGTCGCCAATATAAAATGTATGTCAAACCAATAAATAAATGCGAATTTTAAATTACAATATTAAATTTATTATAATTCTAAACAAAAAAAAAATTCCAAAATAAAAATTATATATGTACGTACGTTTGTACATTCACGTACTTTCGTATTTGTTTTTCTATTACTGAATATTAAATTAATTACATAATCTAGTTCATAAGTTTATTTTGTTCAATTTATCGCAAAAAAAGAAAATTTTGCTATTTAACTAAATAAAAATAGATAAAAATAAACTCAAAATATATTATGCGATAAATCTATTACAATTAATTTTCATTTCTACGTATTTTACTAATTTAATTTACTAAATAAATTTTATTTTCTACCTTTCACACACTGTGTTTCAAATAAAACAAAAGTTAAATATAAAAACAAAATATTATTTTCTTTGAAGGAAAATAAAAAAAAATTAGCCTAATTTCATTTAATAAATTCTAAATGAAAAATTTATAAATCAATATGCACACAGTGAATTCGAAAATTATAATTTGTATTTTAAAATTACATTCGTATCATGTTACTGTAATTGTAATGTAATTTTTCTTCAAATTACAATGTACTTATGTACATAAAAAGAAATTAAATTCCTTTTTTAATTTCTACAAAAAAAAAATAATTACATGAACAAATGTATAATAAATAATGTGAAATCTTATTGAATAAAAAAAAATATATTTTCAAATATTACTATTAATATAGTTTAAAATAAATATCGCATTCATTTGTTGTTTTAATTTGTTTGACATACAATTTAAGGCGTATTTTGATATTTGTGTTTTTGTATAATGTAACAATTAAATTGAACACTACAAAAAATTGCAACAAAACTTAAGGAGAATCTTTTTGGTTGTTTGTTTTTATTTATTAAGATTTTATCTTCGTTTTTCTTTTAATATGTTAATCGATGCAGTATATTTATGTCTTTTTTTTATGTCATTTTTATTCAAATAGATTTGAATATTAATTTTTATTCATTATGTATCTAATAATATACGGTTAAAAAATTTTCATTTTTTAATTATTTCGCACCTGACATTCATATGGAAGAAATGCAATATTGATCTCCTTTAGAGTTTTGATCTTTCTTGCAGCGCACGATTTACACAAATCGTTAAATAATTCCTCAGGGCATACTATAATTATAAAAAGGGGGTGGCAAAATAATTTCAACATATTTATTAATAATGATTATTAAATTCTTAATTATTATTATATGAATAAATACATTGAAATTATTTTTATAATTATTAAAATAATTCCGTAAATTTTTTTATTTATAAATTCGTTAAATGTAAAAATCTTGTTATATTGAGAAATAAATAAAAAAATTTAAAATGAAAATACTTAGTTAAAAAAATGTAAATTTAGATTTCTAAGATTGTGTTATCAATTCACAAAAAAAAAAATATTTGAAATAAAACAATATTCTGCATATTATTAAAATTAAGTTCAAATTTTATCGATTTAGTTACTAATTTAGAACTACTTAAGTTCTTATATGATTTAATCATCCTACAAATCATAAGAAAAACTATTTCATTATTATAAAAGAAATATGCTTTCAATCATATTTCTAAAAAAAAAAAACAAATTACAAATTATATATTGAAATTAAAATTCATTTATAAAATTTCTTTAATTTATATGGGATAATTTTTTAAATAATAATTTGAGCAATGCAGCTAAAATTGTATAAAATAAAATCATAGTAACTTTTTATATTATTTTTTAATTTATTATAAAAATTAATTTTAAAATGTACTTTATTCAATTACATATCAATTAATATATTGATATAAATTAATAGAAGTATTTAAAAGAATATATTTAGACTTAAATTAAGAAGGAATTTTTATTTAAAAATTAAAATTCAAAAATTGCGGACTATGTATTTAATGATGAAATATCAAATATGAATATTAATACAATTTAAAAATTATAATTAATTATCACCAACAACAAAACAAATGAAAATTATGTTGAACGGATTAATATGTTTATTTGAATAAAACTCAAACACTTTATCTTATACAAGAAAAAAATTAAAAGTAGAATTGTTATATAATATCATATGAAAAATGTACCCAGTATGCAGACAAAAACCATTACCATATTATATTTATGATAATATTGTTAGTATGTATTAATTTTCGCTATATTTAAAAGCCATTATTAAAAACCGTTTTTGTTTTTGCAATTTGTTTTATGATTATAAATTTAATCACCTGCTCTTCAAACGGTATAAATGCTATATTTATTTCTACACAGCATTTAAAAAATTTAAGTACATCTTTTCGAAGTTCTAACATACGGAATATATGATCAGGCATTGCTAAATAAATTATTTTATAATTTTTATTCAATTCTCTAAAAAATATTTACAAAATTATGTATGTGTAAAATTATTTAATTTTATAAAATGTAAAATTTCTTTAATATTTAAATTTTTTTTACTTAATGAGAGTAAGTTGCATTCTTAACATTTTCCTTTTCCAAGTCATTTTTATCATTAATCAGCTTTAATAATGAAGTAAAGTAAGGATATAAAAAACAACAGGATTCATAAAAATAAAAAATTAAAAAATTAAATAATTTCTATTTATGGAAGGAGTTGTTAATGAAATTTTTTATTGGAAATCAAAGAATAAGCATGTAGCCAAATAAGTTTTGAATGTTTTTTGACTTGGAAAAAAAATACAATGTTATTAACTGTAAAATCAATTTTTCATTAATAGTATTTATTTTTAATGTGTTATTTTTCTAAAGTTTTTTAAAAATATTTAACAATTATGTACTACTTACCTTCGGTAAAGAACACATGTGCATATCGATACATTGGTCGGTTTGGATGTGCAAAATCGCGAATCAACCCACCAACAGATTCATCTGAAGGAGTTATTAAATAAACAGCTTCCATCGTTGGCAAAGGTTCTCTCTTTTTATGTATATCTTCGACCACTAAAATTTTACATTAAATTTGTCATATTTAAAATATAAATATGTATATTAAAATAAAAGCGATGTTTTACACATATTTTAAAAAAATATCTATTTACAAGTTATTCCTTCCGCACTAATATCATGCATTTTACAACATGCTGATACCATACGCATTGCAAGTTTATCAACAACAAGAACACGCCATTCTACACCACCGGGCGGTTTTGCTGATGTTGCAGCAGCTCCCGGCTTTTTTGTTGGAGCTGGAGGCTTGTATTTAATAACCTCGTTCATAATTTCTAAAAGTAGAAAATAATAATATTAAAGAAAAAATTCAATTTTTTTCCAATGTTATCAATACAATAGCAATAAAAACCTAAATAATATGCATAAAATTTATAAGTCATACTATAACACATAGTTACATACACATTTTATTAAGTGATGTTTACTTTTGTTGTAAATCATATTTCTATAAGGAAACTTAAATTGAAAAACAACAACTGACTAACTACGTATTCCATTAAGTTCTAAAGAGATGAGGCATTTGTTGATAATATTTTTTGCAATATGCAAATGTAAATTTTTATATTTATTGAATTGCAATTCCTATGAACGATTCCTTTATAATTTAAAAAAATTTAGCAAATGTTTTATATAATTTATAAATAACTGAAGGATGCGTTTATTCTTTACAAATATACAATTAGTCATGAAAACATATTAGTCATATTTTTAAGTTGGGTAAAGATCTTCTAATGTAATAATTATTTTTATGACAAGTTAAAAAAAAACCCATGGTGAACACTTGTTAATTTTTATAAAAAAACAGATCGTTAAAAATTAAATATAATGGATTTGAAATTGGAAAACAAAATGTAAATAAAAACAATTTCAAAATTATTTCATTGATATTTAATATAATGACGTCATGACATATCTGCAATTTGCGCAAAGGCATTTGTACATGGGAAAAATCAATATTTTTTTACTCTTTTTTAAATCTTATTGGTATTTTAAAATAAATTTTATTTTTTACAATTTCATTTCAATTACATAATTTATTATTAATGTAATTTATTCATTTTTTTTCTTAAATATTATAATCAATATATAGACATTTCTTGCAGGGCGTATCCAATTTATTTTTTTTTTCTTGCATGTCTCTTTTATATTGATTGTAATTAAATTAAATTTTATTTCATTACGAAAAAAATTTAACACATTACTCTAAAGCTATAATTATTAAATAATTATATATATATTTTTTACTTACTTTGCCCCACTAAAACTTTTAATGCCATTTTTTTGTTTCTATTTTTAAAATTTGTAATAAAAGAAATTTAAAGTTTGTTCTCGACTGATGAAATTTTCTTATTTTAGTCTTTTACTGCAAAATTTGTGTAAGCAACACAAATGACATTAAATGTCAATTAAAATAGATCAACATTGCCAACTATATTCGTTTCTTTTACATCAGAATGGAAATATAATGAGTTAAAGAGATTTACACTCAATCAAATCAATTAATAAAAATGAGTTATATGTTTTTACTACATATATTTTTTCTCTTATTCTGTCAACCGTGTTTTCTCTCTAAACAGGAAAGTATGTGCGTATTACGTATAATAAAATAGTTTCGATTGTAATTTGTTTTCTGGCATAGAAAAATGGTAAAATGTGGGTAAATTATTAGTATTACTTTAACAAAATAAACCAAAAAAAAGGATCGCCTATACTTAGTCAATTGGAAAAACATCTCTCTCTCTATATACAAAAAAAAACTGTATACATAATTTACGTTTACATTATTTGATGTTCACCGTTTATCACCTAAATATCATTTTTTTTTTCTTCTTGTTTTATCTGGAAAATTTATTTTTTCATAATAGAGATAAGTTGGAAAGAGTATTGGTAAATTCTTAAACGTCAAATTTTACAAAATCTGAGTTGTCTGAGTTTACGGATACTCTACTACGTTTTTACTATCAGTCAAAGTTTAAATTCTTAAACGTTTAAAAAAAGTCAATTAATCGTCAAAAGTGTAGATTTTTTTTTTTACATGCAGACAGTCTGACGTAGTAATTCAGTAAATAAATTTGATGTGTTGAGTGACTATCATTACGTTAAAAATAATATAAAAAATATTTTTATTGTTAATTTTTAATATGTAAGTATAAATTTATTTTAAATCTAAAAAAAAATTTTTTTTTGTTTTGACGTTTACGGATGATCAAAATTCAAAGTCAATTACGGGTAAAAAGTTTACTAGATTTCTGTCCGTAAAAGTTTTAGTTTCAGACAGTTTGCAGACTAAAATCAAAATTTTGACGTTAAAGAATTTGCGGCATATTAAGTACTTTACTAAGTACGTATCAAGGAAATAGTCAAAGAAGAAATTGGTTTGCAAATTTATTTTTGCATAACATGTCATTAAGTTAGAGTAGTTAAATATCTCCGATCTCTTTTAAAAATCATTACCACGCTCATTCACACATACCCGCATATGTCGAAATTTTATTTATGGTAAAAAATATATTATTATAAAATAAAGGAAAATAACAAGCGACACAAATTTTATTATTTTCAAAAAGCCCCCGAATCGAAAATTGGATTTCTTATACGGGAGCCAAATACTTTTGAAAATATAATTGATCATTATTTTTATTGATAATATAAAATTTTAAATTATATCAATTTTAATCAACCAATATACAATTTGCAATTAAAAATTTACTCTTCTTCAGCTATTACTTGTTGCATTTGTTGATTTTCACGTTCTCGTTGCTCTCTTTGTTCATTACGATTGCCTTGATTGCGACGATTGTTATTTCTATTACCCCTGTTATCTCTTCGTTGATTGTTCCAATTTTGTTGGTTTTGTTGATTTCTGTTATAACCGCGATCTCTATTACCCTACAACATTCAATAAATGTTTCATTAAACAAAAGTTCATATTACATTTCACATTTCACATATTGACTTACCAAATTTCCGCGTTGGAAAAAGTTTCCTTGCTTCATTTCAAATATTCTTTCATTAGCATCTACTAAGTTTGTGACTTTGTCTGCTAATTGCATAGATAATGCTTGCAGGCGAGATGGTTCTGATCGATGCATAACTACAGTTTCAGTTGGATCATCTAAACTCGCCATTAGTTCCTCATTAATTATCATCTTGCTTATAAGAGAATGAACTTTAATAACTGGAAGATCATACATTTGGGCCAATGAAGGTATACTTATAGATGAATAAACATTAGAATATGTGAACAAATATGTGCGAAGACTTTCTTCTTTTATAAATTTAACCAACATTTCCCGAACACGATCTGCTTCATAAAATAAATCCCAAACTTTGGTGTTCATTTTCTTATTTACAATGAAATTGGAGCATGCTTGCCAATTCCCACAACGCATTGCTTTTGCTGCAGCAACAACATGTTCTCGCATGGACTCGGGTGGACCAACCAAAGACTGTCGTTCTGAGGATCTTAGTTGTTGATAAAATGTTTTACTATAAATAGAAAATTAATTAGGCTGTATATTTATTTTCACAATTTCCAAAGATTTTAAAATTTAAATTGTAAAATATGTTCGACTACATTGCTGGAAAACTTATCCTCGTAGGTTTTCCCCTCGGCAAGTCAGATATTATATCTCCTTTCGTAACTTAAGCTATATGCAATATTATCTCTTTATTTGCCATGCCAAAGCGACTTAGTGCAAGTTTCAAGGATTAAACATACTTAATTCGAAATTTATAATAGTAACTCAAATTTACCTTATCATTCTTCTTCTGGCATCGAATTCGTGGGCAGCTATGTAAGGTATTTCCAATAACATTGCTGATACGAGATAAACACATTCAAGTAATTCTAAGTTAATATGCATGTGGAATGGCATTTGTCTTTGTTTTTCAACCTTTTCTTGTTCCGCTGAACGCTCATGTTGACGCTGAGGCAGTAATCCTTGAGCCAATAACTCTTTCGGCTTGGCCGTTACCATTAATTCTACCAAACAGCGATGAGCATCCTTAATATTACCTTGGCGGAATGCACATAAACCAAGATTTGCCATCATTCGATTGTATAAAATTAATGTAGGTGGATCAGCAACATGAATTGTTTCCTGAAGATGGGACATTAATACCAAATCACGAGCCTGAAACCAGTTATCATGTAATGCATGATGATAAATATGAGCCAGAATAGCCCTTGTACGAATACGATCAGTGTTGTCCTTGGCATAAATAAATTTGCACAGTTTGTCCATTACTTCAACAGAAGTATCTGTATTGTTAAGTTCTCCCTTAAAAAACATTTTGTTTTAAAACCATATCAGTTTGTTATGAAGTAAGTTACCTTCTTTTTTTTTAAAACATTTGGATCAAACTTATAATACAAATGTTCTATTTTTCTTAAATACGCTCGACAAATTTCATTTTCTGTTCCCACACGTTCAAAATACTTTAAAACATGTTCAATAATTTTAGTAACAGTGACTTCATCTTTTAATCTTAAAATATAAATGATTATTAAAAATTATTTTAATTTTTTTTTAATATTAAATTTAAAAGGAAAAATTACCTCTCTACATATTCGTTTGAGTGAGGGTCGCATTCTTTTAACAATTTGGTAAACTCGTCATCAAGCCTTTCTACAGCAGTTAAAGGACAACCTCTAATGAAATATGGTGCGTTCGTGTATTCTTCGTGTTCTTCCAGAATACTTTCCGTCATTGTGATATCATTTGTCGCTAATAGGGTTTGTAAAAGCTCTTGCATCATTTTTAACATTTTTCCCCAATACTCTAACTTCATAGGTTCAGAAACTTTTGGATTATAATCAAAAATAGCGGAAACAATACTAAAACGAATTTTTATAGCGACTGCGTTTCCTAAATTGTGTTCTTCTGCGATATCGAGCAACTCGTACAGCATTTCAATTTGTTGCTTACGATCAGTTCGCTTCTTGCCTCTAGCAGCTACTATTTCCGATAATTTTGCTAAAACTACGCCTGTGTCTATTTCTGCATCTTTAGCAAACATTTTAGGTTTTTCCGCAGCTTGTGCAGATCCTTTAACTACAACGTTCCATTCACCTTCCTCAGTATCATCCTCTGCAATTTTTCGACGTGGTTTAACTTCTTTTGCTTTCTTCTTTTCTTTTTTAGCATCTTCTTCCTTCTCCTCCTTTTCCGTAGTTTTTTTCAAAAATCTTTCTCTTATGTTGACATATTGGTTTCCATCGTCAGAGGAAGAAGATTCTGATTCCGAATCTGACCCCCAATATGAATCATCAGATTCATCATCATCTTGAGGTTTCGTAGGTTTTTCAACTGATTCCTTTTTGACATGAGCAACTTTTGTCGGTTGTGCTGGCTCTTCTTCAGATTCCGATGCAGACTCAGGTTTTTCTTCCTCTTCTTCTGTTTCTACATCTGGAGATTCTCTAAACTTCGTCAAATCCTCTTCGAAATCTTTAATATACTTTCTTACTTTTTGCCTTAAAGTTCCCAATGATTTGTAATTATTTTTAGACAAAGATTTCCTTCCTTCATGATCTTCCCAAATTTCACTAATGAAATCCTCCAACTCAGCAAGGCAACGAACATAAAATCGAGGAGTGTTTCCATTCTCTTCTTTCATAATAACTGGCAATGCTTTTTGGTAAGCTCTTGTAAGATCTTCAAAGCTTGTTAATATACTGGACATATCTTTAATTTTCTTAAAGTTTCTAATATTCTTTATCAAATTAGACAAATCTTCATATCTTTTCTCTTTTGTTGACCGCACTACCCTCTTCACTTCTTCTTCATCGTCACTAAATTGCTGAAATATTTTTTTTTTTAAGAATTTAAAATGATTAGATAAATAATGCATATGCATACACATACATATATATTGAGAAACTTACAGTAAAAGCCGGAGCAGTCGGCCTGAAGGCTGGTGCTTGAACTTCTTCATCACTACTTTCTGACTCTGAATCTGATCCACCGGTAGCAAAAAAACGAGACATCTTAAGTTTTCTACTTCTTCTAAAAAAGAATTAAGGTTAGACAATTATCGCCATGTTGCGCAAATTTCACACATCGAAACATAAATTTCAATAACTTATATTAAAAATTATACATTTATATTACAAAAATATTTAAACGGATGTTTTATGTATATTTAAGAACAATATCTTTGCTTCAAATCTTTTACATACCTTAAAAATTACTATTAAAAATTTTTGTAGCCACTTGGCAAATTTAAGTCTATGAGGAAACTCTTATAGAAAGAATTATACATGTTTGACAATAACGTGACATTGATATTTGGAAGGAATAAACAGTTAGTGTTACCATTTTCCGCTGATTAAAAAAATCATACTAAGGTTTTGAAGGTAACGTAAATAAGTTTTGCTAATGTACGAACTCGCGGTAGCGTGCTTTTTTTCCAACGACTTTAGTTTGAATTAATTTAAAGATTAATTAATTGAAACTTCTTATATCAAAGGTTGGCCTTCGTTTCATTTTGTTAGTCAAAAAACTTTTTCGTTTGTCGACAAGGGGAATGAATATATGTCAACCGTTAATGTAAAAGTCATCATATAAGCTGGTGTTGAGTAAGAGCATTTGAGTCTGTTCTTTTCCCGGAAAGTTTCTACGTTAAAACACATTTTGCATGTCCCAGCAATTTACTTATAATTCAACATAAACACACGAAACAAAATTTTTAAAGAAAACAAAGTATCAAATTCAAAAGCTTTTGACACTAGTAAAAAAGTACTGCGATCTTGCCATTCCTAGTTAATTAGAATTGACAATTAAGTCGCTTTAAAAACAAACACGTTAAAATTTTTCGTTTTATTTATTTAACATTCCCGTAAGATTAGATCTAAATTTCAATATCGCTAATTTAATTTTAATAACGTGACTTTTCTATGAATTTAAATATTTGAAAAAGGCAAGTTAATATGTCCGCTTATAATGATCATGAAGATGAAGAATCAGATGAAGAAGACGTAGATTTGTTTTCAGGACGCGAAGGTAAGTAGTACATAACATATTACAATTATTATTAATTTCCAATTTTTCGTAAATATGTGCAATTTGTAAAGCAATTACATTCTTAATCGACGCAAAACTTTATAATGATATTGATGAATTTGCTAACACATTGGACATAGTTCAGAAAAGCCTTTTATCAGGTTTGCTAACACGCGGGAAAGATTTTATTGGAGTAGTATTTGTGAACACAGAAAATTCTCCTGAACCAAAAGATTTAACTAGAATGAAAAATATAGTAGTAGCCCCAAACACAGCTGTTTTATTGCCACTTGCTGAGCTATCAAAAGAAATCATGGAATACTTTTTGAATTTCACAACACCTGATTATTTTGATTTCCCAAAACGATTTGGAATAAAAGATGGAAGCATTGCGAATGCTATTAGATTATGTACAAATATGTTTAAGCAATGTGGCTACAAATTAAGTACTCAAACGATCATATACTTTACTAACTGTGATGAGCCATACAAAGAAGGCTCATCTGAGTTTCAAAAATGTTTGCAGAAAGCAAAAGATTTGGATGAAACCGATGTTCAGTTTGAGCTCTTACCAATGTGCGAGAATTTTGATTACAATAAATTTTACAAAGAATTTTTATCTATGGTACAACATATTGAGATAGATCAATTTACTGAGCCGAATAAAGAAGAACTAATAAAAATGATTTCTAATAGAAATTTGCAGCAAAACTCTAAAAAGCGTTGTACTTATCATTTAAAATGGATTCTGGGAAATAATGTAGAAATTTCTGTAGGGCTATATAATTATTTTAAAAAAAAAGTTTTACCTAAAAGTGTGAAATTATTAAGAACAAATAACTCTATTATCGATGTAAAAAGGGTTTATAAAACCAAGACGATTGAATCAGGAATGGAAGTTGATCAAGAGTTAAACGAAAATGTTTCCACGGAAAAATTTCCAAAATCCAATGAGGAAGAAGATTTAAAACCAAGTGATACAAGGTTTGTAAAACACATACTCAAATAGAAAATGTGTGTGCTTATTTGAATTTAATTTTTAGGAAAGTATTAATTATAGGAGGTCGTCAAGTGGAATTTACTTGTGAAGAAGTATCTAGAATGCGTAGTCCGTTAGCCCCTGGAATGCGTCTACTTGGCTTCAAGAACCTTGAAAGTATATCATTCCATAACTTTGTAAAAACCACTTCCTTTCTTTATCCTGATGAAAGAATTATAAATGGCTCGACAACATTATTCCGGGCTCTATGGGAAAAGTGTATTCAAAGAAAAAAAGTAGCGATTTGTGTTATAGTTCCTAGACGAAAAGTCCCGCCACGTTTTATTGCATTGTTACCAACAGAAAAGAAAAATTCTTTTAACGATCATGATGGTTTTCGTATTGTTTACTTACCTTTTGAAAATGAATTTAGGTTATTGAATTTACAAGGTTATTCTCTTGTGGAGGCTCCTGATGATGGAGTTAAAATTTTTGAAAAAATCTCTAATAAATTAAAAATCAAATTTACGCCACATATACTCAGGGACCCAACATTAGAAATAATTGAAGCAAACATTATTGGATCTGCTTTTGATATTGAATACGAAGGTTTAGGGGAGGGATGTTCTCCAGATTTTGAGCAACAAGATGAACGTATTCAAAAAGTAATAGAAAATTTGACAGATATATTTGGTCAGGTAAATAGTTTTCATAGAATTAGTCTATAATTCATAAAAATTGAACTGTTATATTGTTTTAGGATTTAGAAATAACTAAAAAGAAGAGACCAGGCGATGGTCTTCCAGAAAGGGCGCAAAAAATTCAGAAAATAACAGAGGAATGTCCAACACGTCAGCAGATTGAAGACCTTTTATCAAAAGAAGAAGTAATTTATTAAATTCCAACTAGAAAAAATTTTAATTGTTGTTTTCATTTTAGTTGAATATTTTGACTATTAAACAATTGAAAGCTTATCTGCAAGAAAATAATGTCACAGGTTTGTCTATTACAAAGCCCAAATTAATTGAAAAAGTCATAGAGTTGCATTCATGAGCATAATTAATATGAAGGCTTTTTTATTGTCAATGCTGAACCCAAAAAAAAAATATTCTCTTTTTTTATATATATGTATATACATATGTATTTAAGAATTTGTTACAGCAGAAAATATTTTTTTAATAAAATTTACAATTTGGTATTATATTAAAATCTGAAATATGTTGTGCAATTGTGAAATACAGTACGGTAAAAGTGAAATGTTTAAATTTAGCTGAATTTTAGTACCGTAAAATAGGAAATTCTGCTCTAACTTAAGTCTCAATATAAAGCACATTCGATAAATTGAAACTGCAAAATCTGCAAAAATAGCACGTTCGAAAATAATAGTTTTATTGAAAGTTCTAAAGGAATTCATAAGTTTTTTTTATAACTACTGCTCTAGTATACGAGGGTCACTATTTATATTTCGGGTCTAGCAATAAAAAACAAACATTTATCATTGGAAATGGTTTTATTGTTTTTCAAAATATTCCCCATGAAGATCAATACACTTTTGCATGCGCTGAAACCAATTTTCGTAGCACTTTTTCCACTCCGATTGAGACACCTCCAAAACATGGTTTTTGAACGCATCGACTGCTTCTTCAGGTGTTGAAAATCGTTGTCCACGAATTTTTTTTTGATGTGAGGGAATAAGAAGAAGTCATTGGGTGCTAAATCAGGACTGTACGGCGGATGACCCATCAATCCGACATTTTGAGTGCTCAAATAGTCCATTGTTTCAGCTGATTTGTGAGAGCTTGCATTGTCATGATGAAGAATGATTCGCCGGCGCTTGTTTGTTTTCCTTATTTCTTCTTGGCCGACCTTCACGAAATTCATCCTGGAGCGAACGGCGTCCGAAACCAAACTCTTGGTACCAGCGATTTACAGTGGTTTTTGATGGTGCTTCATCACCAAAAGCCGAAACAAGTTGACGAGACACTCTTGTCTCGATAATCCGCGCCGAAAATCGTAAAAAATCATCGCACGAAAATTTTCACGGGACAATTCCATTTTTTGACCGAGATGAATTTTTCAAGTCACTGTAAACAAAACAATTCGCGCTCGAATGACAAAACGTTCTGAGTGAAGTTGTCCTAAAAAATGTCAAACTTTCCAACGGAAGTGTCAGATTGCACCTGGCAGCACTAGTATTGGCAGGACCCGAAATATAAATAGTGCCCTCGTATAAGACTTCAGATTTAATTTAGAACTTTTCTTACCCAGCATTTACACGTACAAGTTACTTGCAAGAAAGTTGCAATACATACAAAAATTTTACTAACACATTGAAATATTTCTACTTGCTTGTTTACTTGCAGTTCAACTTGCAAGAAAATTTTGCTGCCAGTAATTTGAGCAAGTAATTTGACATATTGAGAAATTCACAAAAAAAAATTTGTTGTTTTGATTTTTTTTTTTTTTTAATTTAAAATTTTTGAATTTTGTTTTGAAAAAATTAAACTTAGCAAACTTATGGTTTCTAAAATTTATAAACAATTAAATATATTGCTAGTTGTTTTCTTCTCAAAGACATTTTCAAAAATTAACTTGCTAAACGCCTACGTCATAATAGCAAGTAATTTGACATTTCGAACAACTAATTGACAATTAATATTATACAAACTTGCATGCAAGTAACTTGTATGTGTAAATGCTGGTTTACATAGGTGAATTATCGAAAATCCTTTTGCTATTCACTCCATTTAATTTTAAAAGGTTAACGTTCATTTTCACTAGAAATATTCAATTTTTTGTTGATATTTAGGTTGACGGTCACTTCCCACAAAAATATGATTCAATTTTTGGTTGACATTTGATTTTAACGGGTTGAATGACATTTAATTTTAATAAACTGCATTGAATTTTCGTGGGTAGTGACTGTCAACCGCTAAATTAATATGGTATGCGTTTGTCAAAAAATACTTGTTTATTAATTTATATGTACACCACTGAATTTGTGGACCGACACCAAAAAAACTAATTTTATTCCTTTTAAAGTTTTATTTAAAACTTAATCATATTTGTCTTGAGTGGTTTAGACGGGTATTTTTTTTTATCGTTTCACGCCTGAAGTAGCATAGAGCTGGCGCATGATATCGTAGATAACCATGAACCAGTTTCTTGCGTCAGTGAGTATAACTATGTAGGTGACGAGCCTACCGTGTTTTTTTCTTATATTCGGCTGGAAAATAGTTAATACAAAAATTATTGTCTTTTTACTTTTATACATATTATCAGCTGATGCAAAAATATCTGGTACTTACATCCTAACAATATGTATATTAATTTTAATTTTTACTACCTAGCCAACTGACGTATTCGATACGTGTTGTAACCATGTTAATTGTCAAATGTCATATTGAATCAAAAGTTAATGGATTTAAAGTAAGTTGCGGACGGATCACGGAACGCATAAAATTGAATCGAAATGAAAACCGACGAAGATTTCATTGAAAGAGTTAAAGATTTTGATTTGCTATATAATAAAAAAAATTTCAATTATAGCAATGTTTCTGAAAGGGACCGAATATGGATGACGTTATCAAGGGAATTCAATTGCGATGGTGAATTTTACTGAAAGTTGTGCAAAAAGGAATAATTGCTAAAGTCGATTTATACGCTATAATGCTTCCAATGTTCAAATATTTGTTACAAATAATTGTGTACTAATCTTATCATTTATATCAATCACTTATTTTAAATTTTTCTAATTGCTAAAGTTTGAAATGAAAGACAGCATATAGAATAACCGATTTGAATGTTAGTGTTTTAAACTCCTTTGAAACAACTCTGAAAAAGCGATCAAGTTGTTTTGGTTTTGAAATAAGAAAAAAAATCCAAAATAAAGGTTAAATTCACTTAAATCGTATAAAATAAGCAAAAATGAAACAAAATTGCAATCATAATTAAAAGTCTCCAATCCAAGTAACAGTTTTTAAGCTTTAGTTTGGTGTTACTTCATAGAGTTAAAGAAAGGGACGAAGAATTATGCAAATTTTTATTTTTACTCTTACGAAAATTAGCAACAATCAATTGACGCGATTATTTCTTTTTTTTCACCATTTTAAACAAATATAATCAATTTCAAACATTATTATAGCGAAAAAGAGATGGATAAGGCTCCGTGACAAGTATGTTAGATCTAAAAGAATGCTAAAATATGATGGATCTGATTTTCAAAGTTCGATGAGTTTTATCGACAAACATATAAAACCGAGGAGGAGGTAATATGTTTATTATATATATTAGATACATGCATGCATATGTATAAAATATAAAGTTTGTTTTACATATGTATGTACATAAATGTAAGTTTTATATTAAAGATTTCCAAAAAATGAAATATATTGCGATGAACCTGAAATAGAAGATGTGAAATCATTTTATAATGAATTTTGTACAGAAATTACAAGTGAAATACAGAATAGTACCGACAATATGCAAGTTCAAGATACGTCGGATTTTTCTGATAACGAAGCGACACAATCAAAAATTGAACAAGTCAGTCCTTATGACGAAACATTTCAACTAGATTTTATAAAAACTTTGAAAGCTATACAAGATAAACTGCAAAAAAAAATGCGAAAAAGTGAAGAAAACGACGAAGATACATGTTTTATGCGGTTAATTACATCAAAAATGAATAAAATGTCTTCTGTAGAAAAATCTTTATTTCAATTAGAAATTTTAAAAAAAGCTGACGAAATAATTATTAATAAAAATTGATGTATCAAACACTGTTTGCAGTTAAAAATAAAATCTTATCCTTAACTTTAAATGTAACTTTTTTAGTATGTACCTGTCCTTTAAACTGAGAGTTAACTTAATGAACCACGTCAATTTTATAAATTAGAATTTATTACTTTTTAAGATAATGAAATTTTAATTTATTTTTTTGTGAAAATATTTACGTGGATTTTCTTGATACCTTTTCCTTTCATAGATTGCTAATCATAGTGAAATTGATTAAAAAATTACAAATTTTTTCTCTTTACATATTTTATTGCATACATAAATCGAATAATTCTTTTATAATTCATTGTTAAAAATTTGAGTAAATTTAATTTAAAACTTTCGAAATTTTAACTAAAAACTTGAAAAGAATTCTAATTAATTTTTTCTAAATTTGAATGACCATAAAACTAAAGTAAAAACTTGAAATTAACTTTAAATATGTATATTATTAATATGCGCAATGTATGCCCCTATATTTATTTCTTTTGAAAAAAATTCTTACAAAAAATTATTCGTAAATCTTATGTTTTGAAGTATGTATCCTTTAATTGTAGATCTTCCTTATATAATATTTGACTACTAAAGAAGATCAAATCTTAAATATGCAAGTCGCTTATTAAAAAAATTATTGGTATAAAAATGCTGGCGAACTACTCGAGAGTTGTTAATTCTTCTTTTACCAAAAATTCAACAATTTCCTCTTCAACATCTTCTGTGGCAAGTGTATCAGTATCGATATCTAAACAAAAAAAGAGAAAAAAATAAAAATTTCTCATTTAAAAAATATTTCCAAAAAAACATACGGTTTCTTAGTTGTAAACGCCTATTTTTCTGATCTTTCCATTCTTGTATTCTTTTGTTGCGATATTCCATAAATTGTTCTCTTAATTGTGCACGTTTTTCTAATAATTCTTTAGAAGCACGTGTCATTCGTAATCTATCTTTGTTCTCGAATTGCGGATAATACTTTTTCAAATTCTTCTTAATTTCTTTTTGTTGTGCCTCTGTTAGTAAAGAAGGTGGTCTTGGACGCCATAAAAATTGAACGAAATTTTTTAACATTGTTCTTCGAACAATTCGTCCTTGGAACGACCACATATTATAACCAGTGTCTTCCTTTACTTTCCATGAACTAACACCAGTTACAACATACCTTCCAGTAGGATCCCATTCCACTTCAGATGCTCTAAAATGATCCCCGCTACCCATGACTATAAAGTCATTGTTCGTGTCTACAAATTCAAATGTCCCCATAGTCAAATTAGCCAGAACTATAAATTGTCCACGAGGAGACCAAAAGAGATGACTACAAGTTTTTTTGTCCATTTTTTTTATAAGATTTGGTTGTTGCCCTTTCTTAACTTCATAAAAACTTATGGAAGCGTTGCTTTGTTCTCCGTGTATTATGGCACATTTTGTGCCTACAGGCTCCCACGAAAAAGCCAAAACCAAATCTTTTATATCCACACTATCAACTGGGACGTCCTTTGTTCGCATGTCAAATATTTGAAATGTATGATATGGACCAAGATATTTTACGTCATTATCTTTTTTTGATTTTTTTGTGTAACGGTCAGCTTTGACACATAAGTGATCACCAGATTTTTGCCAATGTATTTTACAATCTGAGACATTGAAGATATTTACTGTTCTTATTTCACGTCTTTTAGGTATATAAACTAATGCTACTTTTGCAGGAACTTGCTCTGTTTCCGCTACCCAATAAGCTATAATATTATCAGTTGGAGACCAACTAAAACTCATCAATTGCGGAATTTTGATTGACTTCATATCTAATAAATAAAAGCTTGGTGTTTCATAGATATGAATAACATTTGTACCCATTGTAGCTACGTATTTATCATCATGAGACCATTTGAACATTGACATAGATGACATGTTCTCAGATACAAAGGATCTTTTTTCTTGACCTGACCGTATATCCCAAATAATGATATTTTGTTGATTTTTTGGTAAGGGTCCATAAGTAACTAAATAATTTTCGCAAGGAGAAAAGTCAACAAATTGGGTTCCTGGATGAGGAAACTTGTTAATTTTGTTAAATTCAGTACCACCCCAAATAGCTACACCAGGTTTATGAAAAGTAACTATATAAGTTCCTAATGGTGACCATTTGACAAAAGTGTCGGTAAATCTTTCCCTCGACTCTAATTCAGTGGGTTCTGGTAAGGTATTTTGCCAAAATTGAACCTGAACAGAATTTGGCGCAGTTTCGGCTGCTACACAATATTGATCGTATGCATCTGGTTCCAACAGGAAATTGTACAAATCGTTTTGTATTTTATTAGGTTGTGGCTTTGGGGGCTCCCATTCTTCTGGTACATTTTCATATCTGTAAGAACATATGTATTTTGAGAAGTTTTCAATTAATATTTCAGTAATAAATATACTTCGCCAAATCAGTAAAAAGATTGACAGAAAATGTATAACTTTTGTCTAATCTATGATTATTCAATTGTTTCTGAGCTGTTTCGGCATTTTGCGAATTTTTATATTCCAAAAATGCATATCCTTTTGTATTTTCTTCTTCATCTAAAGGATAATAAGTGTTGACTATTTCACCAAATGTGGAAAATAGTTTATCTATGACCGTCTTTAATTTTTCTTGTCGGGCTGGTGCAACCTTCGGTATATTATCGACAACAACAACATTTTCCATACCATCAGTTTCACATGGCCTTTTACTCAATAAATCACCCAACAATTCTAAATTTTAATTAAACAATTTGTTAGTTTTTTAATTCTAAATATTTTTATATATTTGATTTATAATTTTGCTTATGTATATTTTTCTGACAAGTTGAGGTTAAGTTAGCATAGTATTTCATACAGTAGATTTAAAAGCAAGATGCCAGCATGGCTGTGAGTAAATTTCGAATAATTTTCTTACCTTCGTCACTAACATCATCTACAAAATCTTCAGGATCATCAAAATTGGGTTCTTCACCATAATCCGCATCGTCTCCACTTTCTCCTGAATATTCTTCGTTTTTCTTCTTGGCCATTTCAGTTTTTTTTATTTATTGCCGTCACTACTTTATGCGCTTATTGGTACTTACAAAAAAGTGAACATCACCAAAAAGAAAGTATATTAGCACTATAGTAGAAAAGTTGACATTTATAAACGTCACTTACTTGACACATTAGCAAAAATGTAAAGTATTATGCAATTTAAAAATGACGTTAAAAAGTTGTAAGGAGTTCACTCAATCAGAAAAGTACACCAATACTGACTGATCAAACCACAACATATTGGATAACATGCACAATTGCAATATAATATTCTTCTCGTATATTGTTTTTAAGAGATTTTTTTTGCATGACTACGTCTTCTATCTGCGATCAATATTATAATGACCTTAATGAATTCACATTTCACAAATGCATCGATTCTATAAGCAATATACAAGAAATAAATTGTCATTTAATTGTTGGAAGACAGATTGTGCAATTTTAATGGTTACGCGTTGAAAATATTTTTTTTCTGAGTTTTTCTAACCAACAGTAACACGAATTTTCTGTTATAATTTGAGCATATTATGTCAAAATGTAAAAATAAAAATCAGCTGATCTATAATCAGGAATTACTGTATGCACTAGATAGAGTAATTTGTATTTTTTTTCCGTCCCACAAAGTCTGATGTCAAAAAGCGTTTACATTTATACAAATTTCTATATGAAAAATACTTTTGTATTGTGAAAAATAGGAATAGATGTTTGTACAATGACTAATCGTAATTGTCTCGTTATAATACATACTAGGTAATTCGCATTTTGTGTTTCGATTTGAACCCCGTTTTCATACAAAATTAATCGATAAAGTAGTTTTCGAAAACGTCATAAATGTCATACCGGATTACCGGAGTAGAAGCTAAAATGGCAAAATCTCAAATATACACACACATAATTTCAAATTTTCATTTTGATATTTGAGAATTTGACATATTCTGAAATTGAATCGTCAATCTTCAATATTCTTTCGTGATGTAAAGTTGCGTAGGTTAAAATAAAAATTCATTTAGGTATATACAAAAAAAAATTTTTTTTTTTCAAGAGTTAAAATTTTTTTGTGAAGAATAATAGTGAAAATAAATATTGTATAAAAATTATAATTAATTATTTATATATTTAGATAATAAATGAAAGAAAATATTTAAATTAAAATTATTTTAGCGTGATATAATTAAAAGAAAATTTATTTATTAATCAAAGAAAATTTATGAAAAAAGGAAAGCATTTCTGGAAAAAAAAATGTGAAAAAATTCTCTACATGCGTAGAAACTACATCAAATTTTCAAAAAAAAAAAAAAAACAAATTCTAATAAAAAATAAGTTTGCAAAAAAAGAAAATTCCTATACATTTTTTTAAATCGTAAAAAGGAAAAGAAAAATATTTTTTATAAATAAAATCTAAATTTTGTTCAGAATATTTTGTAATTATTTTGTTAGAATATGATTTATATGCCATTTATGAATAAATATTTTAATATTCTAATTTTACAATTATATTAAAAAAAAAAAATTGACGAATATTTTTTTTTCGTTGCGACTATATCTGTATATGAGTTTGATGAAATTAAAATTTAATTTATTAAATATATAATATAAAAGTAACACAACGGAAAAGGTCAACAATAAATTCGCTGATTGAAAATTTTAATTAGCTGATGTCTTTATGCTCCAAAAATGGTGAAATTTGTCGTATCACGATATAAAATTAGGTTTGTTATAACAAATCATGACAGAGGGACATGAAAGGTAAGCAATATTGCCGACAAAGAAAAAAAAATTATTTAATACTTTAAATTGTACTTTTAAAAAACAATTTTCTTTTTGTCTTTGTACCTACCTAGACACCCAATGTTAAGCAGTACCTACATACCTACCCTAGGAAATTTTTTTTTGTATGTTAGGCACAATGATCATTAAAAAAACGTACATATTATCTCTTTAATGAAAAACAAAATTGGTTGAAGAAAATTAATTTTTCAAATTCCAAAAACAAGAAAAAATTTTTTCAAATTCCTACCCTACCTTCCTACTTAATGGATTCTTAAAACAAAAAAAAAAAACAAAGAATAATATTAGACTAAAACTACAAACAATATTTTCCATGAGATTCAAGGCACCAAACCAGAGTTGGAAAATGAAAAAAAAAATGTTACAAAAATTGAAATTTTATTACGAAAATATTTTTAAGTAATAATATTATTTTTTTCTATTATAGTTTTATTATCGCAACGACATCTGATTATAATTTGAAAATAACCAAATATTTAATTCATAGCTAAATTCCTTTTTTTTTTTTTTGAAAATTCATTCTTATTTTAATATTTTATTTATCATTTTTTTTTATTTTAATGTAGCCAGTTTGTCCATTCAGGAAAATATTTAACCTTGCTCAATTTTTAACTAAAATACATACATACATTCGTATATATTATTTTATATTATTATAGGTACATAAACATATAATAAAATATTTTGTATATAAATTTATATTTCGTTTTAGAATATGTATATATATATATATATATATATATATATATATATATATATATATATATATATATATATATATATATATATATATATATATATATTTATTAAACAGCTATATAGAGGTACATGGGTACCTACAATATTTCTTTGTTGAGAATATGTATTTTTTTTCAAGGCGATTTAATTCACAATTTTTCTACTCCTCTATGTTTTCTATATATAACATCATTAAATTACATTTGTATGAAATAATGTAGAAATTGTCTGAACTGAACTGAATTGAAAAGAAAAAAAAAAACAAAAAGAAAAAAAGAGAAAATAGAATGGGGAACAGCAAAAAAAAAAGTTATATTATTTTTATTAATGGACATTGCGCAAATCTGCACTAAAAATTTGAAATTTGAATAAAAAAAAAGTTTTTTTTTTAATAACTTTGTTCTGAACAAGAAAAATTTAATTTCTAAAATTTAAGTAATTAAGTAAGTAGGTACTAGACTTTTGAATGAAAAAATGATCATTAAAAGTACAAAGTACCTACGTATATCAAAATTACTTACAAATACTTGGCCACGATAGTTTCGAAATATGCGTACACCTACCTTTGTTAGATAAGCATGCAAAGAATCTTATATGTATTCACTAAACTGTTTAGTTTTGTTTTATTAACATTTATTAAATTTACTTTTTAATTTTAATTATTTTAAACAATTTGATTTATAGGCAGATATAGGCATTAGCATTAGATAGACTTGTTAGTATAGGTAGAGTTGCAAGTATATACTTATTAAGTGAAAAAATGCAGTTTATTTATTTATTGATATTAATATTTTAACATTAAAAGTTATCAATCAACAAATAATTTTAGTTATTGTAATATATGGATGTATGTATAAATATAATTAAATTTTGTATTTAATTATCTTATACTTACATTACATTAAAATATTCAATTAATGTGCTGGCAAATCAATTATTTTAGGCTTTTGTAAAATTCTGTTTTTTTTTAGTTAACAATAAATTTAACAAAATTAAAACACTAGTTAAGTATTTATAAATAGTAAAATTTGACATTATTTTTTAAAGAGTTCAATTAAAAAAATTAATTATTAAATTTTTAATCAATTTTTTTTTAGTTATTTTTCTTTTACTAATCAATCGATTTTCAAATAAATAAGTAATAAAATAAATACACTTGCATATACTTATATGTGCAACAAGATATGATAGGATTCACAACTAAATTTTTTAGTTCGCTAAAATAGTTCGGTACTTTAAACAAGAAATCAATTATTAGAAATTTAAGATTACTGAATGTAAAAATTGAGACACAATATTAACATTAAGTATTTAGCACAATTAAAAAAAAAAAAAATTAATTAATGATCAATGCATCTGTGTATATGAAAAAAAGAGCCAAGTATACTTGTGTGGTTATTGTATTCCTAATCTATATTTTAATATTTGTTGCTGTTTTTAAAGCTAAAGTTTCAAAATGCTTGACTTTTAAAATATCGCAAAAAAATATATTTTTTTTTTAATTCGGAGTGCGCAAGTCATTTTTCGTTTTTTTTTTCTTAATATTTTTTCATCGTTGTTTTTGTATCTAAATTTTTTCCATTTTAAATTTTGCTAATATTTTAAAAAAATTAAAAAAATCCACCCTTTTAAAATTTAATAAAATTTTAGGTGTATTTTACTGTTTTAAAATAATTTAAATTTTTCATGAATTTCATATTATTAATTTGCAAATTAGAAAATTTTTGTTTTGCGTCTGATAAAAAAAAAGGGAAAAAATTGAATTTATACATATATATATATATGTATACTTTATATTGTACATGTGTATAAATGTGATAAAAGATTTTCAGTTTCAAACGTGTTATACATACACACACACATGAAAGTAAGTGCATACATTGCCAAATATACATTCCTGTATTCTTAAACATCCTTTGATACACAAATCCATATTTACATATTTACTTATTTACATGTGTTACAAAATATTTCTGTCAATGAAATTTTTGATTCGTACTTTTTAAATTATTTTATAAACTGATACAATCCTAGGATAATAATAATTTAATAATGTATTTTTGAATATTTTGTGCCCTTACTGCAAGTTTTAAATTATTTTAACTTATCTTTTAAGTTAGTTTAAATTAGCAAAATTCTATGAGAAATACTTCAATTTTCATTTTATCTAAATCTATTTGCTTAATCTAGGTATGTTTGATCTATTTTAAGAAAAAATAGTGTATATATATTATTCAGATTAAAAATTCGATCGAAAGGTGTTAAAAATGGCATTATGTGTATAAATATACATAAATAATTTATGGAATTGTGTTGCATAATTTTTGGCGCAAGAAAGTAATAAAACATGAATAATTTAAATTTACTTTTACATTATGTAGTATTATACAGTATTCGTGTAGTATAAAAATTCTTTTTACACTTAATAACTTTCCATTTCGAAAAAATTATAACTAATCTTTCAAATCACAACTATTTGAATTATATTTAATACATTTTTTATTATTTAATACATTGTTATTATACTTAGTGTTAACAATTAACACTTTCTTTTGTTAGTTTTTTTTCCTTTTCCCATGCAAAATTCTATTACATGCAAAATCTGGATGTATAATATATATATATAAGTATATATATATATATATATATATATATATATAAAATTATGCTTTCATTATATGAACTACATATTCTTATACACAGTATATTGTAACTTAACGTTAATGGTTTAAAATAAATTTGGAAAGCTGTTTATGATAAACATTTTTTTTTGTCATAATCTCATAAATATATGTGAATATAAAAAACGCACTAAATTTTCTTTAATTTTAAATTTATTTCAAGATTGTATCTCAAATACAATCGAAAAAAGAAATATGAATGAAAAATATAAAGAAAAATTCTTGAAATACTTTTGTGAAATTTTATTTTTGGGTTAAAATTATGAGGTACGATAGGAATATGTGTTTGTTTACAAAATATATTTTTCATATCTAATGTTAAATTTTAGTTAATTAAGAAAAAAAATCAATTTTACAAAATATTAGTAACTACTTAGTATTTTCTAAAGTTTTAGTAATTCATTTTCAAAATATTTAATATATTGAATTATTATACTTACACACATAATTATATTTATATACTTATATACAAAATATTGATACTTCTTGTATATTAAATATATAGGCATATAGGTTTTAATAAAAATTTACTTATTAATAATATTATATTGACACACACATATTCACACATACTTCGTGTATATACACTGATACATATATGTATTAAAATCATTTTATTGTGTGCAAAGAAAAAAAACTGAATCAAAAATCAAAATTATTTGTTCTGTCAGAAATTGTAAAAAAAAAAAGGAAAAAAAAAAAGAGAAATAAAAAATCCTCGAAAATTCACACAAAATATAAAAAAGGATTTTAAAATAAAAATATTCATTTTAAAATATTACAATAAATATTTTAAATAATTATTTTATAAATTAATTATTTAATAAATAAAAAATAATTAATATTTTTTTAAATTAATTTTTTGCTTTTTCCTCTTTAATAATTCTTAATTAAAATAGAAAGTCTGCGCAACTCTTAAAATTTCTTTGTGCACTTAATAGGTATCAGAAAATTTAGCGATGAAAATTCATTATCAATGTTTTTTTTTGTACTAATAATAAAATTGAAACTTAAATGCTTAAATAATTTTATTTATTTAAATTTAAAAGGAAATTTTTCTATTTTAGCCTTAAAGTATGCAAAATGTTTGAATATAAATTTATGTTGATATTACTTACATTTATGTGTTTGTGCTAAATAGAAATATTTATTCACAACTACATATCAAAATATTAGCTATATACACAAATCTATATATATATATATATAAACATTAAATGTAAGTTAAATGTATGTTTAAATTCGCAAAAAAATATGTCATTGTGTACTTACTCTCTTATATCAAAATACAATAATTAAAAAATATAGTTAAATATATTTATAACAAAAATAATTAAAATTTTTTTTTATGGAAAAAATAATGAGTATATTATTTTTACATACATTATACATGTATGAATTTAATAATTGAAAATAAAAAAAAAATATAAAAGCAAAACATATACCTAAGAGATAAACAAAAAAATCTTAAAATTTATTAAATATGTAAAAAATATTAAAATTTCAAATTTCGAATACCAGGAAACTAAACTTTTGATA